ATATGTAAAGGTGACGATTGTCGATAGGAACAATTGTTGTGCAACAACAATCGTCGTGCAACTCCAATTGCAGCAAACGTATACGACACCTACGTGCAACCGTTTACCAGTTGACTATCGGATCGATCATTATTCCCATTTGACACATCTAAGACCTAGCTGTCCGTGGGCTTGTTACTGTAAGAATTTACTGATATTGATTCATGGGGCGGGTCTGAGGAGAAAGCAGGAGTTCACTATGATCAGTCCGGTCATGCGGTGTGTTTTGTTGCTTAATTGATCCAGTGGCCTGGCAAAAACCGATTAATCAAGGGACACAAATATTGGGTGGAAAAGTGAATAAGTTTTCATTTCTAAATCGGGCGATCCCGACTAACTGAAGAAGAGGATCGCTAGCCTCACGACTAGACCGGCGGCTTGGATATGCTCGTTGAGTCAGATCGACAGCAATCACGATAAGATAAAAAAATACGGATGGAGGGGAACTGAGAACATACGCCTAGCCTAACACAGCAGATTTACAGTATAACCTTATGACGCCGGTTCGTCTAGATAGAGTCCAATAGTGTTTTCCAGCAATTTCGCTTTGCCACACTTTTGACGGGTGTGTGCATAACATTTAACCCACATTTCAAAGCGGTTATTAACTAGATTTTTGGGTCATAGACGTCCATAGTTTGCATACTCGCCGTGGGTCTCAGTCAGTTTCCGATAAGGACTGCAAGTAAGCATATCTAGCAGATGCCAGCTGCTGACGAGGTGAGAGGTGTGAACTACTGCGTTCAAATATTCAATCCTTCGGTCTATGTATGACAACGGGTGACAGTACCCGGTATTTCAAAATCTGCACCAATGTACCCCTAACCCTCGCATATTTGGTAAACTGAGAAGACACATCAATCAGCACTCCCTGAACAAAACTGACTTTAGGTATACATGTGTGGTGCCCATGTCTCTGTCGCAGGCGAGAGGAGAATCAGTCCATAAGAAACATCAAATATGAAACCATATGAGCACATTAAACTTTGTATTTGAGAAATCCGCCGACTTTCGCGATTTTGGATGTACCTGTTGACCACGTTGACAACAAGCACTGCACTCTTAAATTCGATGCGTTGACTGAATCGGAAGAACTTCCCGTCTTACAGAATGGGCAAATTAGCAGTACTGAACGGTTAATAAGAAAGCGAAGGGTTCAATTAAAAGTTGAAATACCCAGTATTGCTACTGGAGAAGACATGCTCTTAACGACTCGTTACTGGAGTTGTGACCTAACACAAGTAAAAGGTAACTGAGTGCGACGCCACACAGAAGACGATGCGGTTAGGAGAAATCACGTTGTTGAGTGATTTTTTGACACGGGACGGCAGATGTGTCAGACTTGATTGATCTACCACTCGCCTCCGATTAGCTTTACAGACATCCAGAAATCTGGTGGGTCTCTAAAGCGATTTTACTCGCGTCCCATCTGAAGGCAATAAAACATGATCACACTGTTGTCTAGCGTTTAGACTTGGTGAGTTTCGGGTGATGTTGCTAAATTTTCATAGTGACCGCTTTGTCATGCAAGCAACACAGTTTGTCTGGCCTGAAAACGGAAGAGTTTCCAACGAATGGTGACGCAGAATGTCGCAAACTCGTCGAGCAAAAGGAAGAAAGATGAGCGAATGCATGAGTTTAAAACAGGCATGCACAAACCAATGTATGGAAGCATTTACCTAGGTAGAACAGGGTCAGTTTCCGCTCTCGACTCAAAGCCGTTGCGCTTCTAGGCTAGACATTGACTATTTAATATATATGTTACAAGTAATTCAAACTTTTAGGCTCTCCTGTGGCACATTCGTTTGACGACTACATCGATGACAGCAAACCATATTAGGTTAGCCCACCCACCCACCTCCCTCCCCAACCAAATGGTAAAACTTATACATAAGACAGTCGCAACTTGTGAGGCAACTAGGTAATAAAGGATGGGAACATTGAAAATGATAACCCTGATGAAATAAATGGTGTGGTTTTCCGAAAATCGAAGACAGGAACTGACATCTGTTAGTCGCCATATCGTTCAGCGTCTCCAGTCAAGGACAGAGAGGCCCAAACGGGCTTCATCCTGTAATTCGAAAAGCACCCAGATTTTTCGTAACAATCTTCAATCCTTTTTACTGTTTCGCATTTTACCAACTTCTAGGTTCCCGGCACTTCGAAGTAGAAACAGAGAATAAAGCTCCCTTCTGTAGATAATGATTCGACATGTGTAACGCATCACCCAAACACCTCGACTTGCAATGCTGAGTGCGTTCCTTGGTACCTTGGTATTCAAAAAACGCCCGTTTCCTGTTTACATTGCGAATCCGCTGATTCCAGCCGACTCCAGCTACCGTTCTGGCACACCGGTGGTCAGAGACCGAAGTGGCCAGGTCTCAGAGGCATACAACAATACCGTCCGCACTGGAGTCTGAGAAACGCGTCCTTTAAGACTCAATGACATACCAAGTCGACTATCCAAGATTCCGTTGTAGGTTGGGAATCCGACTGAGCAATAGCACATGGCCAGTTGAATTGTTGTTAAGTGTTCAGGTGTTCCTTTTTTTCCATAGATTAGTGAGCACCTTGTCATTGACTGTTTCGTTCACCAGAGGTCTTTTGGGGCCTGTTGCGCGCATCGGTTGCAATGGCTTTCGTACAATCCGAGTTTCTCGCCTCCTCCATATCTTCCGATCACTGACAATTCGTTGAGTTGTATGGCAATTCGACCAGGGGAAATACGTGTTCGAGCTTCAACCATGTTTAGAGTTTTAGTCGAGATGTAGATTATTGGACTGTTACATAAGCAGAGGGTCACTATCTTGCAGGGCTGCGGATGGTACTTTCCAGTGAGTTTCCAACATCAAAAGATGGACGGTAAGTAGATTTTATTTGTGCGTTGATCGTTATATGTAGGCTGGAATACCACCAGGGTTCCCAGGTCCAGGCAAAAGGACAATTAGGGCCCCGACCAAAGCCCTTGGCGCAAAGGCTTAACCGCAAGGCAGCGCAGTTGGCACAAGACTGTTAGGGTAGACTGCATTATATGGGGTAAATCGTCACACATGTTCCAATTCCCGACCTGGAGGACAAGCGTGAGACACCCTGTAGGCATCAATACTCAGCGGGTTACGGCGGTACACAGACTGTCACGTCGCGTTAAGGTTCAATCTCTTCGTGACCCGTAAAGGCCTTTGAACCAAGACAGCCATCCAAACAAAGAACCATCTCCGAAAGCAATGACCCAACTGTGTAAAGCTTGACTTGAAGGTGCATGAAAGTAAGAATCCTGGTACCTCTGTACATAACAGGTGTTTTTGAAGCGGCTCCTCGCTAGTGAATCCGCTGCCAATCACTGTCAAACGGCAGAAAATGAACAAACGGTTAAGCCGCAGCGCCGTTTCAGCACCTACGTGCCTTACAACTAAAAAGAAGCACGAGGGCTCAGACATGGCCAGGTCGTCCAAGCCTACACAAGAGCAATCGAAAATCCGGGGCTGGGTTCAAAGGACAAATTTCCGGTCAGTAGTTTTGTGCCTTAACCGCTAAGCTATCTCGAGCGTTAGGTGGCCGGAAATTACAGCTTCAAAGCAGACTCTTCTTATTCAGAGGAAGCATCACTTTCACAAAAAATATTGATATGCTGGTTGTGTGCGAAAAGTACTGAACTGCCTATTCGGTAATTCACGATTGCCTTCCAGTAGCGTGATTGGCATAATTTCACCTCGGGGAACAACATACCAGCGACTTCGTCCAGAAGAAATTACGCAATGCCGAAGCTCCTCAGTGAAGTTAGCTACTGACAAGACGGCCACGACAGTGCCATGGCTGCATTACTCAAACGAAGACAAGCCAGGCACCCATAGGTAACTTTAGTAACTAGTAAAGGGAATTTACGGGTTCCGACTAAATGAAACGCAAGAAAAGCGGTGATATCGCTGGGAGTCATCTAGCATTGGGATAGACGGAAGACACAAACACCAGATGTACAAAACGGCAACGGAAATGGAACGTCATGGAATCACCTATAGAGGGTTGGTTTCAGTAGGCATGATCATATCGCTACAGTATCATTCGCAGATGTGATCTAACCGTAACCTCAAGAGCCGTTATGGTACAATTGCATTGCCGAATGGCAAAACCGGTTAGCTATTGAATTCAGCTAATGAGTACATCGTAAATTTAGCATCAAGGAATGAGGCCAATCAGAATACCTGTAAGCTTACGAAGTTGATGAAGAAATATTAAAGATTAGAGTGAGGTATGGTATGTTCATGGAATGCCACAATACATGCATCCATACGGCTGATAATTCAAGCACAGAACAGTGGTACGTTGAGGAACTCTTATAAAGTTCCAACAAGGATATCAATCGATAACCATGCTCAGAAGTAAGTGCTGGTAAAGTTCTAAAAATTGCCAGTTAAAAGCATGAGCAGATGATCTCTGAGGTACAGAAACATCACAAACATTACAAAGAGTCCATGCAATAATCCGTCAAAAGTTGTTTATACCAGTTTCACTTTACATACCGAGTATTCTGTGTGAGCTGAGTTGCGTCCAACGCTAAGTAAAAAGGCCGAGTACAAGTATGGAATCGAACTGAGCAGCTGAGCCCATGTCCCGTATTATTCATGAGTTTGTGTTAGTCATGCTGGAAGCCAGCGGTTAACCAAAATCACTTTAAAAGCGGATATACTGACAACCATGATCCGGATAACATAATTGCTCACAAGGTCAAATACCCCAAAGCGATATATACCCTAGTCTACATAACTATACACACAGCAGAGTGAGTCAGAGGGCATCGCGCAGTCCGCATGAATTCCAACGTGGTAATAACTTATTGCTTCACAGTTCAGCAGATAACTGTCGGGAAATGAAACTGGATATTTAAAAGGCCTTAGGTAGACCACATTTTTCTCCCCTGTTAGCCTCAGTGACGAAGAATTGGGCTCAGAAAAGGATACACCCACTCCAATTTCAATGTTTCATCTGGTGCAGGCTGTGGAGCGTACAGGTCGAAATTGTCCATAATTGTCGATGGCAGGTAAACATTGATAGCACGTCCATGAAGGAAAACGCGAAGGATACCCTCGCCTGTAAAGAAGTCAAATACACTAATGAATATCGACAAAGTCATGGTGACGACGTCTCCAACCAGGACAAAGCAATACTGACTTACTTGCAATATATGTGGGCTCCTTGGGCCTGAAACGAAAGAAGTTTGGAAAAATCACCATCAGCTAAAATTGATAATGGTGAAGAGGATTCTAACCTTAAGTAGAGGAGCTGAATATCCAGAGAAACATTGAATGGGTGCGGAACAGGGAACCAACACCTACTGAGAGCGAAAATCCTCACCCCTCCCCAAAAAAACGATACGTCACCCCAACAGAAACCAAATTCAAACACCACACGACCACTTGCTCGCTATCCATACGGTAAGGAGAGACGGGAGACGGTCTTCGTCTCCGGATAGGTGTGGGTTCACGGGGTGCAACGCATATAGCTTGTCCACCTGGTTTCCAAGCTGTTGGATGTAGCGGTGTTCGACCAGAGAGGACAGGATAATTGTTTTCCGAACCATAATGGCATGGCCCAGTAGCAGGCCCAGAAGATGGTCTACTGCGGCGACAAAGATTGGGTGGTAGACAGAGTGACGATGGTGGTAACGGTGGTGGTAGGGGTGGAGGATTGCGGATGGTGGGCAGTGTGTTGAGTGGTCTTGACTGGTGTTGGTGAAAAGGTTGATAACCATTGGCATCTTCCTCATGGGCCGAACGCCACATTAAATTGTAACCGGATGCACCATCCGACGTTTCATAATACCTTGAGAAAGTACCATAGCGACGGAAGTGAGCCGGTAGGGTACCGTTTCTCAACAGATTTGAATCTTTCTCTGAACCACAGGGTAGCTGGCCATCTACCATTGACATGGACATTGCTGATCGTCCCACAAAGCGGAAGAGTGTTTTCGGTTTGTCTGGAACAGGACTAACCACCCGGCTGATGCTGCACGTACATGAACCAAGACAAAGCGATAATCAATAACTGGATTCCTTCTCTTAAAATCAATTCATTCATATTGAGCAGAAGCAGCGATATTCCTAGTCAAGTACAGATCAATATATCTCAACTTCTTACACAGGAGTGGCGGGCGTTGAAAGTTGCAGATGAAGATCGATAGGCTAGAAAATACCCGGGATTGCAGTCCGTCGCCTGAATCGATAGGAGTATCACGGGTTCGGTGCCCCTTTAGACAGACAACGGAAAGATGGTTGTGAGGAGAATAGGTAATTTCCACTGGAGATTTCGTCCTGTCAGTGAAGCCAGTCTATGCCGAAAAGTCAAGAGGCACTGAAAAACTGATAGGTAATTCCACTGGAGATTTCGTCCTGTCAGTGAAGCCAGTCTATGCCGAAAAGTCAAGAGGCACTGAAAAACTGTTTCACCTTTGTTGGGAATCAACACCTGTGGGACTTTGCGAAACTCGGAGAATCAAGCCCGCAAAATTAAGGTCTGTTGGCCACAAGCAGCTAACTAGCAGCGTAATTAGCTACCAGTTAGAGAGAGGGCTAAGTGAGAGTTAGTCACATTGCTGATAAGCCGTTCATGGTCAAATCGTTAAATGTTTAACCACTGGCTGGGACATCTCGGGTTCGAAGCTCTGGGTTTCGTAAGGTACGTACTGCTGGTGATTCCAAACAAGGATGAAACAGCTAAGCAATGAATCCGGGCTTTTCAGCATAGATTGGTTTCGCTGACAGGGTGAAACTTTATTAAAAATTAACTAAGAGTTGATTCACAAGTCGGTACTTGGGAAGGCAGAAGGCTAGAAGCCAACCCTAATAGATTTAAAACAGTTTACTGAACTGGTCATCATCACCATCATCATCTCCAGTTGCGAAAACCACGTGTTTGCATATCGGGGTCATAAATGCCAAAGTTTTGTTACCCGATGATTTGGGGACGTGAGATGAATACATTGAAAGCAGTAGCAGGTATAATATATGCTCAAATACAGAGGGTATCAGTGGACTTCTATTTAGGGAGATCAGGGGAGGAGCTATTCATTGAAAGCAACATGACCGTCAATGAGGGTGAAACTGGGCCATGTCTGACAATGTATCTAACCATTGGTGTATCCCGTCTCGGAGTTCCAATCCAGAAAGACGGTAATGACCAGCGCAGCTGAGTTTGCTGGTAATAGGTTTCATATTTCGCTGTCATGTCATTGTTTGGCTTCCCCTAGCTCGTTTCCTCACTTCGTGCAAAAAAGACCCGTTCGAGAAAGCCGGTCAATTGGAATGCTAGGCACGTGACCAAGCCAGCACAACCTAAGGAATGTGTTCGATTCGTCAATCGTGATTGAGTTAGCTCTTTCGAAAACGATTCGACTTACTTAAGCATTATTGCTCCGGTGTTCCCACCAGACTCACGCAATGCTCCGAAGACATCGATGGTTGAACAGTGAAAGACTTCTGACTGACGGGCCTCTGACCCGTATAATAATATGAACCGCACCACAGCATCGCAAGCCCGACCCTTGGTGGATAAGCTGTCACGCCCACACCACAGGTGATGCAGGTTCACGTAAACTGCTCTGGCCTTCCCAGTATTTGGCTTCATCACCGGGACTGCTGCAGCTTCCCAGGCAGAAAATTTTGTCTACAACCTCAATAGGCTCATCTGTAGGCATGAGGTGAGGTTTCGAGCTCTGACCCGTATAATAATATGAACCGCACCACAGCATCGCAAGCCCGACCCTTGGTGGATAAGCTGTCACGCCCACACCACAGGTGATGCAGGTTCACGTAAACTGCTCTGGCCTTCCCAGTATTTGGCTTCATCACCGGGACTGCTGCAGCTTCCCAGGCAGAAAATTTTGTCTACAACCTCAATAGGCTCATCTGTAGGCATGAGGTGAGGTTTCGAGCCCAACTGGTCTTTCAGCAGCACTCTTCGCAGATGTGAAGCGCAAGCCAAACCGTGGGGCAGAACCATCCAGATCATTTACTGTTGTCTGCATTATAATAGCCTCAGATCCAAGAACAGCTTTATCGTCTGAGCACTCGATATGTGAGCGTACACCTTGAGAGCATTTCGACCTCACCGATATTAGAGGCTGGGAGTGAACGTTCCATGATCATATCAATGACAAGATTGAAGTGAAAGAGGATAGTCTTATATGACACCACTTGATGTAGTGCAATCAGGCGAGGACTTCTCGTAGACCTCGACGCGTCCGAGGGAGTTGGCTTATAACCCCTTAAGAGCAAAAAATGTATGAAGGATATATTTGCTCTCTAGACAATGCCGTAGCAATCGAAGGTCTACTGGAGCCGGTTTGTACCGAAGTTGAAGCATCTCTACTGACTTCCAAACTAAACTTCGGTAACACACTCCGAAACGATACCATGCTATGCCAATGTTTTCCTGGAGTCGCTAAGACCCTATATGAGTGTAGAGGAAAAAGATTCTAGAGTGCAGTGAATGGTTTATTTACCCGGTAGACGCGTGGCGATCCAACGCAGTTGACGATGCACTTTTATTTCCAATCCGCTGTAGATTATGCGAACCGACCGGTCCATCTCGCGAAGTGCTGACGTTGGTGGTTGGACGAGGTTTTGAATTTCCCCGCCGATTTGGCCCACCCTCAGAACGATGTGGAGTCGGTTTGTTAGTTGGGGTCGTCGTAACCGTTGTTCCTGAAGTAACAGGGTGAGTACAGATGAAAATCAATTCAGTCGGTCACTCTGGTGTCACACCAGATGAAACTTATCTAGCAAGCATGCAGTGCAAACAAACCACCGAGCACATGCATCTAAACAACCCTAAAAGTGCACAAAACTTTGAACAGCTAAATTCCATATGCAGTTGGAAACACATTCAACGTCAAAGAGGTAACAGCGGATCAAAAACAGCAGGTGAGATAACGCATGAAAACTGCTAGCGGAAAGCAAGTACATGAAAAACTCGCGCATACAGGTGAGTCGTGAGATCCGTTGTGAAAAACAACACGTGACAGATCGATCTCAGGAGAAATAGAAAAGACATTAGACAGTAAAAACAGGGGATCAGCTCATTCGTTGAGTACAGGTTTTTCATAATTTCAAACAGCTTATTGGTAACTGGAATCCGGACACAGTATGGAAACAACTGAAATCATTTGCAGACCTAGCAGGATGTCCTATTACCAACGGTTCTGGGGAATAACCTGGGGTTTAAAGAATACTTCCTTGAATAAAAGGCGCTTCCTAGAAAACAACATAAAACTACTACTTTCAGTAATCCACCGCTTTGCGTGTTCAAGACGTGAAATAACTAGGTATCCCTGCAATAAACAGCTTGATTGGTATGTAAAATCGTCCTTTTTGGGATATTCATGTAGCAGCAGCTCCTATCAACCCTGGAAAACTGCTGGAATGAGTTCGGTCGCACTTGTTGGCAGTCTACTTTAGTGACATGGAGCACTGGTTTAAGGACTGATCGGGAAACCAGTCGGCATGATGAAGGAGATATAATCAAAGGATGAATCTTCGGTCGAACAGTAACGTTTAGTCAAGATTTGACAACTGCCATGCACTTCTTGCAGTTTACGGGGATGTGCGCCTAACTGCATACGGTATAATGCTTTAATCTGAAAAAAATGGGTCAGGTTACTTCTCTTTGTGGAACCGGAGCTGAGCGATCGCCTGACCATTCTAGGGATGCCGAAAAATACGAGGTTAAAGTACCAGTTAATACTTGGGAGAAATCTAACAAGCAGTCTGATAAATGAACCATAGCGTTGTTGACATCTCGGTTGATGGCCTGAATTAAGAGGTTTGCGTACATAAGGTCCTTAGTGAAAATGGTGTGAAGCTTTGCAGTCGGATGCCAAACTTCATTAAAGTAGGAAAACAAAGTTAGTATTGTACGAAGACTCGATATGAGCTGATCATCCTTCCTAAGGCCCACCAAGACTGCAGTGCCCTGATGTAAGGCCTAGTTGTGAGTTGGTAGGCAAATATCCAGATTCGTTCAGTGAACCCACTTAATTTCAAACCTCACCATACTTAATACTAATTAATAAATTCAGTCGCAAAAGTGGACTCACAAACCTCACACGAAACAGAAAAGTGGGAAATCATCCAAAGAAAGCGGGCAGACCACCAAAGCTGATATGAAGGGCCTGAGTAACCCCGATAAAAAATCAGCGGGAAACACCACGAAAAACACAAATGGGAATGTATCAATGCTTATCCGCAATAAAAAAACAATCGTCGGAGCAATCCACTGCGAGCTTCGTCACGGAAGGATGAATCTTGAATGAGTAATCGCTCTACAAGTACACCAACGAATATTAAGCGCAGAATAATCAGCCATGCATTATATTCGATGTACCCTGTAAAACGCCTAATATTTCTTAATCAGTGCAATACATTCATTGACCAGCACTACGAGTAAAACTATCCGTAAAACAGTTGCCTCTATGAGGTGAACTGGCCCATGCAAGCTAACATAGTACGTTGGATTAGAATGAGAGAAACGAGACAACAAAGACAGAACAAACAGATAGTGTAGACACCCAAAACATGCGGACCGGGATGAAGAACTGTGGATAGGGTGTGAAAATGCGGGAAAGTGGGCAGTGAATATGACGAAGGCCATGGGAGAAGGTTTTCTGCTACAGGGAACAACAGTAATGAAGCTGAGATAACTTGAGTGAAATAATTTACGTACGGGCTGGAGACAATATGACCAAAAGGCTCAAAGTATAATGGCTATAACGCAAACTGTAAATCTTTCTGATTATCACCAATGTCCACGATCCATGTAGTATCTTTCTCCCTTATTTCCTAGGTATAGTAATTCCGTTGCAGACGACCGGACGATGAAACGGAACTACAAACCTGCGTCCCGCTTAGAAATAGAAATTTGAGGAAAACGCCGCTCGCCAAGAAAAATTGCTTCCGAAGCTCTCCGGTTGAATTTAGCCATGTGATTTAGTGTTTACCAGGCAGCTCACACTAGCCCCTGGACAAGTATCGCTAGCCACCATATGGTAGCCTCATGTGGTTCGCCAATACACATACTTGGATTGGGATGTCGGTCCTTTGTTGGAATCCATAGCGGAAAGATGACATGCACTAAACAACTGTTAGTGAGGAGATTCTCCGTCCGGTTGGAATGTGACACTAAATGTATGAATTCTCTCGATATTAGGAGCTCCCATTCCCTTATATAAAATGAGGGAGTATAGCGTATGTAACAGGAACACGAAAAAGGTTATCGGTTGTTGACCATATGGCTGAGCTTGGCAATTTACTTACAAACGCTTCGTCATCAATCGAGCAAACAACATCAGAGAGTGGTTGATTGGTTACTACCTCCTTACTTGCCGGCGTTGACATTTTTTTAAAAAAGAGCATCTGATATCCTCATATACGATGGGCTAGTTGGAGAATAGCTTGTTGGTTCACCTCCGACCTCAGTTTGATCACATTCAAAAAAACATACCAAAACGGAACGCAAAAAAAACTGATCAGTTAGATCAGGGGCCGAAACGCTCGGAAAGAAGCTATCCGGAGGACCAATGGAATACGAAGAATACAAACCAGAACGCAAATAGGTAGATGAAGTAACCGGAAAGTTACCCTCCAACTAGTTAATCGCAGCTGTCCTTTAGGAACCGTATACACGCAAGCAGGTAAGGAGGAAGCACTGATAATACCTACCGCTGCTTACAACTCTACGGCTAGTTTGGCGAACAGATCGACAGCCACCTGGTCAGCAGCTAGCAGATGTACCCGGGCCACGAATTATTGGACATTTCGTCAAAGAAAATGTTGCAACTTACCAGGTCGGGAGGAAGTCGTAGTATGTGGTCGGGTCTGACATAAAGCCGTACCTTTATTTGATTCCAGCAAGCTGAGACGACGGAGACAATCGGCTAGAGAGTTTCGCAGGCCAGCAACTTCATTGCCCAGCTCAGCACTCCGCTTTTCTAAATCAGCGACACGATCTAACAGCCCAGAGTTTTCGATGGACATCAATTCTGAGGCTAAAAAAGGTTAAAAACTACTAAACTACTTGTTTTTTTTTCAACCACAACAAGTAATTGCATGCGACCTAAATAGAACCGAAAGATTCCACGGTGATGTACACTCCGTGAGGAAAAACCGAGCCTATTAATATCTAGTGAGAGTCAGACTAGATGGTTCGAATCTACTGGAGACAGAAGCTTTTGAAACAGGAGTGGTTTTCGAAATGTCCCAAGCTGTCAACATGAACAATAAAATAGCAATACGCCGTATAGTAATGGTAACATGCCATCATTTTAAACATGTTTCAAACATCACAACGCGTCTGCAATTACAGTGGCCACGGTGCACGGATCGGCGTAACCAATAGTAGCATTGCGCTAACCTAGCGTCAAAGTGATAACTGCAGAGACATTAATCCCTTCAGTAAGAGTGGGATGTCGTTACGATGACAGCTCCCTAACGTATCATCGGCAAACAGAGTGCCAATGAATATAGTTAAAAAAGCGATCAGTCTTGTAACAGAAGCGGTCCGATGCACGACGGTATCATGAAATCCATTCATTCCTCTTTTTCCCAATCTCAGGATCCTAGGGAAACAAGCATTCTGCACGTGGATTATAAGCCATCAGAATAACAAACTGCCCGACAGTCCCACTGTGTATGGCTTGCCAGTCCGAGTATTGGAAGAGGCATCAGTAGTTAAAATACGAACCCATAGGTCGTACCCAAACACGGAAGCGTGGGTGCCCACCGGCAACACCAGGAACACACCCGGATGTAGACAGGCCTTATTCAAGTGCGACAGTAGAGAAAGTATGTTACAAGTCATATCAAACGCTGCGCAGTTTTGTTACGACTCAACGCCACATAGGACATAAGTAGCATATCTCACAACACATGGATGCTGATTGGACGGCCTTCATGCACATCGACCATGCAAATTGAAAAGCATAAGAGTGGGGAACAAGTGGCTGTCACCTGCTTGGTTTAATTTCGTCCCACTTCATTCCGTGTTATGTTACATCGGCAAGCGTGATAAACCCCATTTCGAATAGATTGGACAGAGAAAAGGCCTAGGGAATGTTCTTTTGGATTCCATATCTTCCCCTACAGACAATGTCAACCCACTACGGCGACGAACATTTTCATAATTTCTGTTACCAGCTGATACGACGGATGACCTCATGGTCATGAAAAATTACTGAATTGTTGAATTCAGTAATTCAACAGCTGTCAGGCGGACGGTCCTCAGACATTTGAAGTGCGTGCCCTGAACAGCACAAACTACGAAGCGTTAAAAGCTGGGTCCATATTGGAGCTCTTTGTTCCGAAAGCTGTCCGGCGTACCTCAGACATGCTACTCCCATGTTCTCACCCAACTCGGTCAATGTTCCACAGTCATCGAGTGCCAGCCGACACTGACAGCTGTCGTAGGGGTCAATATTATGACCCATGAAGCAGTACGGATCGCACCACCATAGTGTACACTCTGCCCTTGACGGACAAACTGACGTCACTTCTGCGACACGCACAAGTGTCGGAGGTTGACAAAAGCTGTCTCGGACTTCCCGACTTGAGAAACGATTTCATTTCCAGCCACTCCACTGGAACTTATACAACTGCCCAGGTAGAAAGAATTCATGATTATCTGGTCTGCAAGCACGGGGTCTGGGCTTGATCCTATCAAAACTTGTAGCAGTACTTCATACTTTGAAGCACAAACAGAAATGTGCGGTCAAATTGTTTAAGCTAGTTAAAATGACTTGCGTTTTTGAAGGATCTGGACCATGGAAAGCAATATCAACATAATCAACGCCTGTGAGCGAACTCCCTGAAAACATTCGTTTCCGAGGTTTCCTAGGTAGGCAAAGAAGTTTAATGATCGAACATGGGCGTTCATATTACCCACTAGGATGAGTACAACCGTTCTTTTTGCTGACAGAGTAAGTGATAAAACCCACTTTGATCAGCTTCAGAAATGCTGTCTATCGGGGCGTATTCTGACACGATAAATAAACACCGTCTACCGCATAGAATTGCATTGCCACAGATAGCGACTAAGCGTAAAGAAGACTGCTTGCTGTGATCCAGTCTAGTATGGCGCTCTCACTCTTCGAGCCGAGTCCAACTCTCGCACCATAGATACCGCAAGCCAGTGTCAGGATTACAAAAGACCCAAAGAGTGAAATGCGGGTTATCAGACCTCATCACAACCGGCTTCAGGCGCACAACCAGAGTGGAGTCTTACGTATACGTTTCGGATTCATGAAATAAATCGTCAAAAGGGAAAGCAAGGTTTCAGCAAGGCGCTCATTGTCCAATTTGATAGAGTGCGGGGCTTGGACCAGCGGTGTGGACTAGAACCTTGGAGTTTGGTTATGGTTGTTAATAGCACTGTTGTTAATAGCAGTGTCGCTGTTGTTAATAGCAGTGTCGCTGTTCCACAATGTCGGAAGATATGTGATTGGCGCAGGATAACTCTTTTCACGGATCTACCTCTCGTTATGTTAAGTTTGCTTTCGAAGGATAATACCAGAGAGCACCTTCGATGCCACAGTTAGTATAGTAATACCACGATGGTTTGCATACAATGTTCATGTATATCTGTTGGAGATGGGAATGATTGCCGATGTGCCCTATTCTACAAGTATTTTCTCTTCATTCCAATAAGTTTTACTGTATGTATAATCAGGGATTCTCCGGTTTCTTTGAAGAAAACTGGATACAAACCACCTATTCCTGGTTCCCCTTTTACGATATATGGGGAATGTTTCGAACTGTAACCCACTCTGCTTGGTAAATGATGTCTCCATTCCATTCGCCATTACGCACTATCTCCAGAGCTGTGTTGTAGGAGACCAGCTAAGCCGTTCTCCGGAGTATTCCGTGCATCTTCCCAATGAACGAATTATCAGGCCGTCTATTTTACCCATAGTTGCTTTCCTCTAACCAACCAATCGTTTCATATGGCATATAGCACAGCTGTTTTCGGTGGCTAAATACTTTAACGTCTTTGGCTTTCATTGCCACGGCTTTCAATCTTTCCTTCAACTCTTCGCCATTTTGGCATTCGATGGATTCGCATGCGCCGTCGGACCTTCTAACGGTATGAATTTCCTTGCAACGATCTGGACTAACAAACTCGACGATACCAGTAGTCGTTTTATGGTATCGGAGAAGCCGGACAAACATCACTGAACGCCATTAACATAACTCGTTTCACATTTTGCCATCCTTAATTTACGTGATTTTATCAGCAGTATGTTCGTTTACTGCAAGGAATGATTGTGCAAGTTTGGATCGATACTTCAGAGCTATGGTGGTCCTCCTAAAATGGCAGGTTGACACATTCCTTGCTGACTTCCGAAAGCCCTGAGCAAAGCGAACCGTAATTTCTCTTTGCAGTATGCCAAGATCAGAGTCAAATTGAGTCGCAGAAAGAACGACAGTCTTGAACTGCGCTTCTACCTGTGGCTGACAGCCATGTGATCCATTCCGGTCTGTCTGATTAGCCGTCAGGTTGTGATACGTGCGTTTATGTTGAAACAGCTGACGGTCAACACACAAATGAAGGACTCGTTGACCGCCATCCGTGTGGGGAGCATCAACTACGAACTGACCACTTAGATATGACTCCGAAAAGCTTATATGACATGGGAATTCCTATTGCCCTCAAGGAGCAGTGGTTTTTACTTGAAAAATGGGCCCAGATAAATCTCGAAGGAAGTATCCTTCTCAGTATCAAAGCTGCAGTCCGTTTGAGCATATGCCGACATTAAAAACAGGTATCGGCTTTTACGTCCAGAAGCAGAGTTAGATTGAGCTGGATAACCGAACGGCGCAGAAGACTGTTCACCAAAATCTGATCCAGCAAACCGCGTTAAGTCATGTAAATGAATGCAACTCCCTAGCCATTTTCCACTGGTCACGGCCTCTGGACCAGCGAAAAAAAACAGAAAAATTTGAAGCAGCTGAGTTCGTCATTGATTTTTAAAGACATATGACTACCTTTGAGGCTTTCAGACGTGCTTCAGAAATATCCCTTAACCGAGCCGACCTAGCCTTACTACCCACCTCACTGGCCATCATTCCCCTTCCACAGTTCCCCAAACTGCTTCCCCGCCTGAAGTGACGAGCTTACAAGCAATTACTGCACGCATAGTCGTACTAAACTGGAATGCCACTATTACCACAACTTTTCGATTTTTCATTTTTGTGACCTATGAGGAGTTCATGGAAAGCTTCGTAGGACTTTAATAACAAATATAACCTTACTTCGGTTTATGTGCACTGCGACAGCGTTTTTGACTGTTTGTTCCAATTGCACCCCATCTTTGCCTAAGGCGTAACGTTTTTCTAAATATAATCCCTGGCGACTTACACGGTTTCTACATGCAGGCGATGCGAGTGTTGTTGACGCAAATCAGTGATACCTAATGAGCCATCTAGCGACTATATCCAACTATACAGTCGCTAATGAGGTATTTATGGTACAGGTCTAAATTGTATGGGACGAACCAACAGGCAATGTTTACGAGGTTGTGGTGATAGCATCCGCCCCAGTCCCTCCTACGGCCACACTACAAGCGGTTAGAGTTGCCCGACAAGAATCGGATGTGCGGCATTTTCACTCCAAACTACTACACAGTTAACCACAAACACCCAAGAATCTATTACTCAACACATGTCAAAACTCACGATTCATGAAAGTGAAAAGCGTGCAATTTTTCCGGGTCAAGGTCCTTTCAAGGTCATCACGTACCAAGCTGATGGAGCTCTAGGTCCCTATCATAGATTCAGTGAGGTGAACACCTAGATGTCATAGACATCGAGTTTGCTGGGAACCAGAGACCTGCAGGTTCGATTCATCAGTTATCAAGTATGAGCTCAAACCCGTATGAGTCGGAATAGAAGGTAGACGTTACCCATGCTACCCCCGGATTAACGGATTCATGGATGGATACACAGGATCGGGGGTATTGCCCAAGAATCCCGGGTCAGTGGCTGACGTTTACCTGAAAGGTACAAGTGAAAAAGGGTGCAGCACTGTTCTTTATGTTCTCAGCGCGGGGCAGTATGCTCGCCAGCGCGAAGACTCGCATAAATAAATGTCTAATAGTGCTTTAAGCTGGGCCCTAGAAGCAGCGTGAACAACCGTCGGAGGAAGGTCGTTCCACACACCTACTACCCGAAATGAGAA